TGACCTCTGGGGTCCGCTTCTCTCTTCTTGGGCTCTCCCACCTGGGAACTGGATAATTCAAGAGTGGAAGAAACCCCAATGAAGGGAATCATACCATGGACCCAAGCAGTGAACATGGTTCCATCAACATGATCCAAGCAACAAGCCAGCCACAAACTTAGTAAGGGGGGGAAAAAAGCTAGCAACACAAAAACAAAGAACTCTCAACTTTACAAACACTGGGAGGGCAACAGCTGGTCAGCTGAGATTAAAGGAGCGTGAGAGAGCACCTCCCCATCTCCCGACTTCTCCTCCCCCATAGAGGTCCTTGCAGCCAGTCAGGGCTTGCTTTTACAGCTCTGTGAAGATGACCTTGTTCCAGCTAAGATAGGGGCTCTTTTGATCTCAGCAGGGGGATGCTCTGGGCCTGCAGCTGGCAGATATTAATAGTACAGGATCCGCTGGGGTGGAAGAGATCTCTCAGTTGGGCCAGGTCACTTATATTCATTCCCTGCTCTGCATCAGAGCAGAAGGGACTTCATTTCCCTGAATTGGCCCCTGCTGGGTATTTCCCTTAGGTCAACTCAGATCATTTTATCGCTGGCTGCTCTTGGCCGCTTGTTCTCACCCTACAACCGTTTTCAAGGGAGCACTGTTTAAGCCATGCCCTCTGCTCTGCAGCTGAAATCTATTACAGGGCAGGGTGGACCCTGAGCTCACCCCATCGGTGTGTTTCTCACTCTCACAAGTTTGCACACACATCTTCTTGTGTATAGGTCTGTGTGGGGGAGAGGCAGAGAGGGCAAGAGACAGACAAGACAGGAATTGTTTAGAGTCAGGAGAGAGCAATGTGGGGAGAGGAGGCTCTTACAAGTATGCCAAAGTATCAATGCTAAGATTCCTGAAGATCCTTTCTATTATGCTTAATCTAGGAAAATACAAGGCCATTCTTCCCACACCATAAATCAGAATTTTATTTTTTTTTTATTTAAAAAAATTTTTTTTTTCAACGTTTATTTTTATTTTTGGGACAGAGAGAGACAGAGCATGAACCGGGGAGGGGCAGAGAGAGAGGGAGACACAGAATCGGAAACAGGCTCCAGGCTCTGAGCCATCAGCCCAGAGCCTGACGCGGGGCTCGAACTCACGGACCGCGAGATCGTGACCTGGCTGAAGTCGGACGCCTAACCGACTGCGCCACCCAGGCGCCCCCATAAATCAGAATTTTAAAACCCCATCAACAAGTGAATACTCCTGATCTTCAGACCCACATCATGATCTCACAACGGTAGAGCTAGAAAAGACTTCAGCAATGTTGTATTTATCCAGCCTGTCCTTTAATAGAAAAAAACCCAAGTTATCAAAAGACCTGCCCAAGATCACAGAGCTAATAACACAATGTCAAAGCTGATACACGGGATGCTGGAGACAACAAAATAATTTATACCTATTAATCATAGTGGCATTAACAACCATTGCAATGTATTTGAATAGGTAGGTATAAATGTTCTAGGAAAATGTTCTAGGAAAATTGTCCATTTTAGTTTACTGGTAAGGAACTTCATTATAGACTTCAGGAAAAAATATTTCTATAGCCTCTTTACCTGCTCAGCTATACAAAGGAAAGCTCTAGAAAAATCAATTATTTCCATTGCCCCTAGGATTTCGTAATTTTAAAAAGTTGTCAAAGGATGAGCGGGTAAGTCTCCCCTTGCCCTGAACACACCTTTACCATTTTCTGGAAGCAGTTACACCGGAGCCCCAAAACAATTTCCTTTGTATCTGTTTTGTTCCTCTTCTTTGCTTAAGATAAGAAAGCCAAGACAAAGCAAAGTACTATTACTTATTGTTTTTTTTTAAGTTTATTTCTTTTGAGAGAGAGAAAGAGAGAGAGAGAGAATCCCAAGCCTACTCTGCACCATCAGTATGGAGCCTGAAATGGGGCTCAAACTCATGAACTGTGAGATCACAACCTGAGCCAAAATCAAGAGTCCAACACTTAACTGACAGAGCCACCTAGCCCCGCCCCCCCCCCCCCCCCCCCCCCTGCTGGGTTTTAAAAAATTAAACAATCCTTAGTTCTCTCTAAGTGGGTGTGTGTGTGTGTGTGTGTGTGTGTGTGTGTGTGTGTGTGTGTGTGAAATAAATCACAATTTTTAATCAGGTGCTTTGTGTGAGTCTCATGGTTACTGTTTACAAAGTATTTACTTTGGTATCCATTCAGCATTTATTTACTGCCTTCTATAAGCCTAGAACTTTTCTAGTCACTTAGGCACAACCATAGATGCAAAAAGAATACAAGATAGCCGGTGCCCTTAAAAAAATCTTCCAATCTAGGGGCACCTGGGTGGTTCAATCAGTTGAGCATCAGACTTCAGCTCAGGTCATGAGATGACAGTTAGTGGGTTTGAGCCCCGTGTCGGGCTCTGTGCTGACAGCTCGGAGCCTGGAACCTGCTTCGGATTCTCTATCTCCTTCTCTCTCTGCCCCTCCCCTGCTCTGTGCTGGGTCTCTCTCTCTCTCTCTCTCTCTCTCTCTCTCTCTCAAAACTAAACATTAAAAAAAAAGTATTTTTTTTTTAATCTTCCAATCTAGTCAGGAAAACATGAAAAGTTAAATTAGTTTTCCTAGACCTTTTCTTTAGAAAGCAGAACAGGTAGAAGGGTCACAGAGGAGGAAGAAGGAGTGAGACCAGTGCAGACTGGAACAAACAAGGGGATTTTGTGAAAGTGGTGGCCTTTAAATAAATCTTGAAGGGGTCAGGGAATTTGGGAAGAAAGGAAGCAGTAGAAGTGAAAAAGGGAAATGCTATTCTAGATGGAACATGCTGTCTCTGCAGTGGCATGGAGACAGGAGTGGGGAGTGGTGGGCAGAAAGTCAACATGGTTGGCATAGGAGTTCACCCAGGACACTGGCAAGAACCAAGGGGAACAGGAAGAAAAGGGCAGACTGTGAGGGGTAAGGAAGCATTAACTGTCTCTAGTGGTATTTTGGAAACTGATCCACACAAAAGAGAAGAAAAGCAAAAAAATCCTGATTTTTAACATGTGCTGATTCCCATGGTGTAAATCCTTCCACCCTGGCTGATTTCAAGCTAACAAACCACAAATACCTGAATATTTTAAAAGTGACTTCTTGATTTAAGCCCATTCTCAGGAAATGAGCTAAAACAACTCCAAGATTTCTGAGTAGGAAAGTGACACAGTAAAAGGAAGCCAGATTCGGAGAGTTTAATTTGGTGGTGGCAGAATGGAAATGGCAGTGAGGCTAGAGTTGGGAGGCCGTTTTGGGATCTATAAAAATAATCTGTGAGTTTAATAAGTCAGCTGATCACAATACAAATTACAAAGAAGAGGTGACTGGCTGGCTCAGTCAGTAGAGCATGCAACTCTTTTTTTTTTTTTTTTTAATTTTTTTTTTTCAACGTTTATTTATTTTTGGGACAGAGACAGACAGAGCATGAACGGGGGAGGGGCAGAGAGAGAGGGAGACACAGAATCGGAAACAGGCTCCAGGCTCCGAGCCATCAGCCCAGAGCCCGACGCGGGGCTCGAACTCACGGACCGCGAGATCGTGACCTGGCTGAAGTCGGACGCTTAACCGACTGCGCCACCCAGGCGCCCCGAGTAGAGCATGCAACTCTTGATCTCAGGGCCATGAGTTCAAGCCCCACACTGGGCATGGAGCCTACTTAAAAAAAATGTATACTATCCATAAACATTTTTTTAAAAATTTACAAAGAACAGGGGACAGAGGAAAAAATATTATCTGGAAAGAAGAGCCAAGAAGACTGGATGACAGGAGTGCAGGGAGGGAAGAAGAGTAAACGATTCGGGTTTTCGGTCCAGGTGATGGGGGAGAGATGAAACATCACTGAATGTGGAAATAGGGGATGCAGGGCATTTTACAACTTTAAAAAATAAGTAATTAGGGTTTTTTAAAAAATGTTTATTTATTTATTTTGAGAGAGAGAGAGAGTGTGTGTGTGTGAGTGGAGGGAGGGAGAGAGAGAGAGTAAGACAGAGAATCCCAAGCAGGCTCCTCACAGACGAGCCCCACTCAGAGCTTGATCTCATGAACCATGATATCATGACCTGAGCCGAGATCAAGAGTCAGACGCTTAACTGACTGAGCCACCCAGCTGCCCCCAACTAATTAGTTTTCACTCTGAAAAACACTGAGAAGCAAGGGCTGTGGTCCTTCCAATTCTTGAGATGGTAAACTGCGGCCAATCCATGCAAGACCACCTGGCAGTCAGGAGCCTCACCAGGCCTGCAAGTCCCATCTGCTCCCTCATGAAGGCTTCGCAGAAAATGGAAGCGCAGAGGGATCTGTCACAGCTAATGCACATTTATCCAGCCCACAACCAGCAGAGCTCCGAAATGTCACATAAGAACTTTCAATAAAACTAGAAACCACCCACTGGCTCAGTGGTGTAATTCCCCTTGCTACGTAAACCATAGCCAGCCTGACCTTTGCTAGCATGGGAGGGTGGAGAAAAGTTTGCAGATTTACCGACGTGGAGAGTTTTTCTTAATCTTTCTGTAAAGCTGGTTGGGAATGCCCCATCTCCAGCACATGATGCCGGTATACACTTTCAGCCAGTCCCAAAGCACCCAGCACCAGCAAAAGGCTACATTGCCATGGGACCACCAGGAAAGCCAACCTGTGAGCATCAATCTCAAGAACCAAGCCACTCAGCAGTTTGCCAGCCCTCGTACTAAGGACCCAAAGCAACCTACGGAGCTGTGACAAGGCTCAAGGTAGAGGTGATGGATGTCTATGAGGGTGCTTCACTCAGATGAAAAGGGGAGCTCGCCTCTGGAGACAGGGCAAGAGACTCTCCAAAAGAAGGGATTGGATGCCAGGAAAGTTGGCTAAGCTAAACCTCCAGGCTCTGGCTGGGTTCACTGGTCAGGGCCTGTTAGCCCAATCTCCCCGCGCAACATGGGGCAGAGAGGAGAGGCCGTGGGACTGTACGTCAGTGTCAGATTTCAGCCCCTCTAGGACAGATCCCTTACCTTCAGACAGGGACAAATCATCAGCTGGAGACACCAGGTCTGCCTGGGAAGCTAGGGCTCCACTTAGATGCGTTGTAATTTGATTCGTCAAGATAACCTGTGAACAGACAGGGAGAAGGTGGGGGAAGAGAGAAGAAAGAGAGCAAATTAATTATTAGAGCTCTCAAAAGACAGACTGGTTCAGGGGAGGACTGATAAGCACACAGGTAGGAAAACCCCAGCTCCGACTTTCATCAGTTTTATCTTTAGGCCAGAATATCTAGCAAAACCTATAGGTCACTGAAAACACAGAAAACGGGAAACACGCTTCTTTTAGAGCTTAAACCACCAATCAATTCTTTCTCAATGCTGAGTAAATTGGGACTGAGAGGTGCTGTCATATTAGCTAAGTAACAGAAGTCTACCCAGAGAGAATTAAGATGCATAGGAACACATTTTGTCAAACTTCAATTTTTAGGATTATATCCACAACCCAAGACATTGCTAGTGCTAAATAAAAGCGGTAATTTAAAATTTGAATGCCTACAGCGTCTTCCTTATTAACTCAAGGTCAGAGTTTTAGTTCCAAATTTGTGAAACTGTAATAAGATTCATCTGTAAAGGAACAACACTGTTCTTTTAAATTCGTTGAACGCCAACAAAAAACTTCCAATCTCGCTATGTATTTAAAACACAAATTAATATAATCCTACCTATGCAAAATAAGGCTCATGACATTTCAAATCCATATGATCCACTGCCATACAGTGGCACTTGATTCAGCCAAGAAACCATTCTTTTCCTGAAAAATCTTCACTTATAAAGTTTACTATATTGTTTAGAACCCTGAAGGAAGAATACACTACAGATTCTCTCCTGGAACATTACAACATGACTCACGCCACAATCATTTCTCGGGATTTTGTTCCCATGATGCATAAACACTATGAGCATCTTGGTCACTCAGAGGAAACCTCCCTTCTGAAAAGGGTACTAGGCATTTAGTATCTGGAATAAGCATCTCGTTGGACTGTCTTGGTCTGTCCCGAGGGTCAGCTATTATTTTGCTGCCACCCTAATTTGAACAGAAATGGAAACTGTCTCTATTCTTTATTGTCCAGCTTCTCAGCCACACCTCTGTCACTGTCTCTTGAAGGAACCAGGGCCACATTATAAATCCTATACCAATGGCAGTTTAATTGAGGGCTGAGAGGTGGAGCATGATGGCAAGGTCAGGCAAAGAAACGAAGTACTCTATTAGCAAAGATGACCTTTCCAAGGTCTTTGTTGTGTCAGCTAGGCTTGTGGGTCTCTAGCTATGCTGTAGTGATGATCAGACAGTGCAGCCTTCTGCTGAGTATTTGCTAACCTTGCCTTCATATTCTTCTGTATTGCCTCTTTTCATCTGGACTGGTGAGAATCACATACTATATGCCTTCAATTACAATGGCTTTATACAGTCAAATCACAGCCTGCTCTTTCAAGAACAAATGTTCATTTTGAGGAGTATGAATAAAAATGAAGTCCATTTCTCTCTTTATAATATAAGGCATGTGCTCTGGAGTTTAATAAAACTGGGTTCAAATTCTGACTCTGACACTGTGCATCTTGGGAAAGTTACTTAAACTTTTGAGCTTCATTTATTCATAGGTAAAAATCACACCTATCTTATAGAATTTTTACCAGAATTAAGTGAGATAATCAATGTGAGGTACCTAACATAATGTCTGGCACATAGTAAATATTCAATAAATGGAAGCCATATATTGTTACCATATATAGGTTAATAAGTTAGTAAATGCCACGTGCTTCAGATGACTGGATCTAATGTGAGAACACTGAATTACAATTTTTCTACATTAGGATATACTTCAGTACTTGATCATTTCTACCAATCCTTAGTCCTTCTTAAGTTTTATTCAACTGCTAAGAATTTATGTTAAAATACCAGTAAGAAAAATAACAGTTATTTAAAGGCAGGTCAATAAGATACTGAAAATACCATGTGTTTTATTTACCAATAAGCAAAACACTGTTATCTGTCTGCCCTAGTTTTTTTAAAATGTGAAACTTCTGAGAGATCAAAATAGGTAAGCTCTACTTTTTTAGAGGATTCTTCTATAAGATGGCTTGGTGAAAATGAAATAACTCTAATGATATGGCAATAGTAATATGAAAAAATATATATATTGAATACTTACCTTCCAAGGCAGGTTACCATATACACAGGAGAAAATAAAGAGGTAAAGGCACCATATGTCTTCTCTAGAAACTTGTAAGTTAAAAGACAAGCCATTTACCAAAATATTCAGTTCATTTTTCCCCTCAATTTCATTACCATTCCACTATAATGGAAACTTGTCCTGAGATGATGGTTTTGTTATACCCAACTATTAAGTTCTATTCTGCGGAACCAAAAACCAAACTGCAGACGTCCCTCAGAAGGCACTCACTCCAATTTACACTCCCAATGGAAGACTAGATGGAAGAGAAAACATTTCACTCTCCAATGGCAAGAGAATCAGCTCCTAGGGGGTTTTGCTAATAATCCTCTTTTTTTTTTTTTTTTTTTTTAATTGTGCATCAGAAAGCGAAATCACTGAAAGGATACATAGCAACCAAACTCAGGGGCTTGCTAATCACACCATCTTACTAAATTGTTGTGGTTTTCTAAACCCGTGTTCAGTAAAATGATAGAATGGAAACATTTTCAAATAGCATCAATTACAAATAATCACGACTTGGGCAGAAGCCTATAGACATGCTGTCCTCTGAGGCAATCTGGAGACTCGAAAACTACACTCTTAAAATAACTTATAAAATACTACTACAGTTTATAAACAGAGTCTTAACACTATCTGGTTTCTGAAAATTTGTTCTGACACTTCAGAAGGGCTTTCCTGCTGCTTTGCTCCATTGGAAAGCTTGGGGCTTCTGATGCTTGGTACTATATTTGTGTGGCTGCAGTTTGCACAGTAGTAGGGTTAGCACTTGAGAGTCAGACCGGAGTTCAGACCCTGGGTTCTACCACTTACTAGCCGTATGACATTGGACAAGTCTCATAACCTCTCTGGTATGATAATTCTGAACTCACAGGGTTTCATTACACTGGATAATGCATATAAGGTCCCCAGCATTAGTGCCTGACCAAAGGTAAATGGTTAAATGTTAGTCCTCATGATTGTCTTTAGTTATCTTTTAATAACTGGTACCTTCCTTTTTATTTCTATTTTTAATGTTTTATTTCATCCTTACACCCTCCTCACACCCCCTGCTCCTGGTCCAGAATACATTCTACCTTAGGGGCCACTGTGTGTCTAGTCTGATCCACCTGACAGTGAACTATTAGAAGTATTTCTGCTGGGGACTCCAGGAGTAGCCATTTAGTATATTCTAGCCCATGGTGAGTACTGGAAAATGGGGGACAGAAGAGAAAATAAGACAGCCCTGGAAAAATCAGGGTGAAGAACTGTCAGATCCAAAGGCCAAAAGAAGCTCCTTTTATTTGACTCTTGGAAGGTGACGAAAAATGGATTTATGGTCAGTTGGGGATAGAATAGCAGAAGAAAGGCTCATTTTCAACAAAACAATAACTCAGTATTTACAAGTCAGATTTTTTTAAAGAGCTAAGTATATGGCACATGCCCTCATTCAACTTTCTGTGGGGGCAGGTGAGAGGCAAAATTTGTAATCCCCACTTTCTACAAGGTGAACTAGAGTCACCTGCCTGAGATCAATAGCATAGGTAAGAGGGGTGTGCAGGCCTCCTGCCACTCTCCCTCCTAAGGCAGCAGCATGCAGAGGAGAGGAGAGAGAACGCTCAGCTCAGACCCGAGGACAGGTGACTTCTTCAGACCTTAGGTTCCTTTGTTCATTATTTTTAGTGTCCAGAAATTACAAGATTATCAGTCCTACACTGTAACAAGCCCAATCTTGTGACAAGAGTCCTTTTGGATTCGAATGCTATGAAATAACCCTAAGTGAAGTAGGTAAATAACTTCAGCTTCTACCAAAGTGTCAAGCATTTGAGGTGATCTGAGCGGAATTCTGCCTCTCTTCTTCATGATTTTCAGTGGCCCCAGATGCATGTGGCTGTCATCTCCGAGGCCCACAGAAGGCCTGGAATCTAAAGCTCTTCATGAAACCCAGGTCTGTGTGCAGGAGTTTAAGGGGGAGACTGGTCTGGAGGAATCATGAGGCACCTCTGGGGCATTTCTATGCCCATAAAAACACCCACTTCTTCCTCCCACCCACTCTCTGGCAGAAACCTGCTACAATCTAACACAGAGATTCAGACAAGTTTCAAAATCACTTTAATTGGGCCTGTGGGGCTAGGTGCAGTGATTGTCCTGATATTCCTGTTTCTCTAGGCAAATAGGCAGTGCACCAGATACCCTGGCCAGCCAGAGAAAGGGCATCATCCAAGCAACAGACAGAGGCCGTGGGCTGGCTGTGCTCACAAACTGCCTACCTGTCGCCAAACCTAGCACTCTCAAAATGACAGAGCTCTGCTTTTCAGAGGTTCTGAAGGCATGGTTTAAGTTTTTCTTCTGTTTGCATTGAAAATGGTCTATCTGGGGGCGCCTGGGTGGCGCAGTCGGTTAAGCGTCCGACTTCAGCCAGGTCACGATCTCGCGGTCTGTGAGTTCGAGCCCCGCGTCAGGCTCTGGGCTGATGGCTCGGAGCCTGGAGCCTGTTTCCGATTCTGTGTCTCCCTCTCTCTCTGCCCCTCCCCAGTTCATGCTCTGTCTCTCTCTGTCCCAAAAATAAATAAACGTTGAAAAAAAAATTAAAAAAAAAAAAAAAAAAAAAGAAAATGGTCTATCTGCCCAAGGTACACTTTCTTAAACTGTTATTTTTGGTATTTAAAATGATCCTAATTGCCAGATAGGACAGTGCTCGAGCCTTTCTACCTAAACTATAGGTCTTGGATAAGTCAGAAAAATTCTGGGTTTTAATCCTGGCTCTGTTTAAGGGTCGCTGAATGTCCTGCTTTTAAGAAGACAGAGGCCGGAATTTTCCTGTGAGAAATTGTTAAGGTTCATTGAGTCCTTTCATCACCAAGGCTTGAGAGAAAGGCCCTGGAGTGGTTTTCACCAAACTCTCCTCTTGCTTCCC